CCCCCCAAACCACAACAATACACACTCTTTTTCTTGGAAGCTCATAGTCTGTCTTAATATATTTGTCTTGTTAGCTTTCGACGAACTCTATGATTAAAACTAAGACGAACTTTAATATCTCTAATCCCAACACTCAAAACAATAGAAAAATACCTTTGCTAAAAGTTAAATATTGCATCTTGTAGTACTGTAGTTTCTGATGTCAACATATTCTTTTCCAAAAATATACTCTCTCCGTCTCAATTTATGTAATATCGCGAATCTCAAGAGTCAATCAAGTTTCTTTTTAGCGTAATTTTTTAATATGTCATTTACATATTTTAAATTATTAATTAGTGAAACTCATAGTACTTTATATAGTTTTAAATTATGTGAAATTGATTTCAAAAAATTTAAAGATTATATGTCCGACAAAATCAAGAAGATTGAATCCGAACGGTGACACATAATTAAATAGGGATAGAAGACGTAATAATCATATTATAACTTTTATATCATAAAATAGTTGATAAGATCATGTGAAAAGGAAAGTGTGTATCGTAATTTTTCCGAGCTCTTAAACGTATATATATAAGAACTTACGTTAAGTATTAACTATTAATCATGTTGCTTTAACTCGAAAAGTCTTAATCAATGAGTAAATAATTCAGTTCAACATGGGTTAAACTAAATCTGGAAAAGCAAATAAGATTAACAAAATAATTAGCTTGGCCAGCATATTCTTTTCTCATTAAAATATGCATTTTATACGTGAAGGTTGCTTTATAGAGTTCCTAGACTCGTGTGACACATCTTCAAAATAAGCAAGTCAACGTTGTTTCCTTAAGTTGAAAATTTCTTCAAATTGAATCCACCGTACATCACAAGATTATGATCATTAACAGAGAATTAATTTCTTCAAAAAGACTAATCCTCACATTAGCTGCTTGATTATTAGACTATTAACTTAGTCAAACGAGTCGGCTAATCCTACTGGGTATGAAACATTAACCCAGTAGTTACGCTACACACAAATTTGGCCACTTTACAAACCAGCAACTAAATATCTAGTCAAATTAAATAGTGTAATACGATTTTTTTTCATTGGTAAATAGTACTAACACAGATTTATTTTTTATTACAAACTAAACGACTCCTAAACACTTCGAAACAACAACAAAAAACACAATATAATCTCACAAGTGGGATCTGAGGAGGGTAGTATAATTAAGCGGACTCATATGTTTATTACTTTTTAGTAGTGGAAAACAAACACATTAAACACAAATGTAAACACTAGTATAAAGCATAATGAGATTGAACTGCAATAAGTCTGTTCATGTTCAAGAAAGCATATCATCAATACGTATCCAAGCGCGAAAAAAACTGTGCTCTTATTATGAATCTGCTCAAATGAAAGTTGCATTCGATTTACAATCAGAATCCAATCCTGTAGTTGGTACTTATCAAGTACCAGAATAGATAGAAAATTTCAAGCAAAAACTTAGCAGAAGATATCTCAACCCAAAAGGAACATCATAAGGTCTTCAAACTACGATACACGTATAAATACTTGAGAGGCCTAAGAAGATGCTAGGTCTATAACCTCTGCTAGAGCGAATCATTTCCCGCTAACCTACATGTCAAATGGTCTAACAAGCAAACATCGACATTTTGGAATTCAAAACCAAGCGGATGTACCTATGACTCAACTTCCTGAGCCTTTTGGATAGGAACTTCGTCATGAGCCTTTTGAATTCCGATCAAACGAGCATAATCAACCCACCTGTAAACCAATTGTCGAGTTTTTGTTATGTGATTAATGAGTTGAAGGAATATGAGGTATTTGTAATGTTTGTTAAAGCACTGAAGAATCTTACAATAGTGAACCCAAGAATGTGTTGCCTGTTCGCACAGCAAAGCACATTGCACTCAACAGCAACTTGTGTTGGTGTAGCATGGGCTCCAAAATTCGTTGCTCAATTACACCAGCCACTACTTGATATCTGAGAAAGAAGAAATGTGCCCATTAAATGTATTGGCAGGGTTTGGCTGGGGGGGGGGTGTGGTTTAATTGGATTGGGTTGACAATATTAACATCCAGATGTCTACACTTGGTGTTTTCAGAATAGATCCCTGACAAAATATGACATCAGAATACCATTTTATATCATGATTATTCTCGCATTATGCAGCAACATT